AAGGATCACGGGTTTTAGGATAACCACAATTGCCCCTTCCTATCCCTTCAGTAGCACGTCCCATACGAATCCCGTCGACTGCACATTGTAACGGCACAATTTCGACCACCTTTCATAGCCTGAATATTTGAAAGAGGAAGGGTTATAAAAGGTGAGCCAAAATTACGGTAATTGCAAGAGCGCGGTGTCAAAAATACTTTTTTGAATAAGTCAGTATTCAACTTTTTTCTGTGCATAATGTGGGAGGGCACTGTTGCTTTACTAATGAAACTAAATAAATGCAGCTTTCAAAGATGAATTGAAACCATCGCATCATGGTACGCTAATCTAACATCTAATCTAACGCTAATCTTTACACAGCATCAACATGGGGTTCTGAAACCCTAAATGTGGCGAAAATTAACCGTGGCAAAGAACCTCACATTGCAAAAGTTGGATGCTATAATTAGTTCGGAGACATCTAAGTCGGAAAAGTATGGAGATCCAAAGCTCATAGAGACTACTAGGACAAGTATCAAACTTAGAAACTTGTCTTCCTTATTAGGATTTTCGTACGCGAGAAAAGAAAACTGTTTGTAGAAGCCTAATTGGACACTCTGGAAACGTCGCATAAACCACTGTGCATTTTTCACGAGACAAGCACATCCGGCCATAAGGCAAGAAAAATGTGAAGTACGTGATTTTTCTAGTTGACTTTTTTCTGGAATCGTTGCAAAGGAATCCCCTGCCTACTCGGCCGGGTTTTCTACATGGTTAACCACGGAGCAAAAGAAGGTGCGAAATCCTTGAAGATCATTCTGCCATTCGCCGTGCACGGTATCTCTCTTCATTTGAAGACCTGCTCGACTCCAACTGGTGATTAAAGATTTCAATCCAACCTCATTTAGCTTTCTGGTGAGGTGAATAATCAATTTTTTTAAAATTTGTTTTCATCAGCTTAATGATTGTTTTTAAGCAATATATGATACTATCCTTCTGGTCATCAATTTTGCCTACCTTGTATGTACATAATTGCTGAAAGGGTAGGAATTTCATTTTCATTCAAATTCTTTATTTTCGCTCAAGTCAGATTCCGGTTCCACAGAAGTCTTCCGTACAATTTCCTAATTCCTGTGCTAATTCCAGAACTGTTCCAAGTGTTTTCGCAACGTTGAGCCACAGGCGCGTGCGTAGCCCACCCCAGAGCAGGAGCTATTGGCTTTGAATGCTTCTTATTTCATTTATTACAATATATATTATTAATAGAATTTCAATATATACTAATAATAATACAATACAATACAATACAATACAATACAATACAATACGATACAATTATTCGAAGGAATCTGTACATGTTTTTTTGGTCAAGACAATGTGCAGGGAGTGCAGGGGACTGATTTATAGAGTGCCAGAAATAAATAGTCAGAATTTTTTTTCTTATTCGGAGAACTTTCCAGACAAACTTCACTACTTATCAGAAAGCCCATTGTCCAAAGCCTGTTGATCCCATAATGCCTATGTTTATCGCAAAACCCATTTTAAATAAATTTATAAGTGTTGGAAGCCTGAAACTCCTTTTTGAGACTTCCCTAATAAAGCCTCAGCAAATAACCAAGCCAGACTGACGATTTTCTCGGTGAATGAACTTCAAGTGCTGCCCATGCATTATAAGGTAAGAAAAAATCTCAGCCACTCGACCATTTAGTGGAGCTGTCGCACTCCAGACAGAGAAAAGATATGAGCCAACAAAATCCTTCGAAAGCACTGAGCAGGTGCGACTTCTAACAGAAGTTGGAGAAGTCATCACTGAAAAATCCTAGGCGGCATCCTGAAGAAATGAACGATCAAAAGGATTGACTTAAGCGGTCCTTTCGAGGGTATCTGGGTTTTCTAAATCAGGTGGGTTTTTTTTTGTACAAAGTCGCATTGAAAACGATTAAGTTTTCACCTAACGGCAGTTGGCAGAATTCCGCGTTGGGTAGGTTCAATAACATCCGCCCTTCCTAACAAAAATGTATTTGCACATTATAAAAATGGTGGCCTTTTTTCTTGGTATTAGCACGAGTCTGTCTATGAAGAAAATTCCTCGCAAGTCTATCTGCGCTTTGACAAATGTTCGGGACAGTTGCCAGTTTAAAAAGGATTGTCTTCTTTTGAAGGTTTTACTTCTTGTTTCTACATTGTTGTTTTGAGAGAAGCAATGCTGGCGTCCTCTATTCCAACCGTAGCCGACGAGTCCATGGTGCTAAGATAATAGCCAGACGGCAGGTCGACCTCTGTGCTCGTCACACAAATACGGATCAGAAGGACCAACTGCAGGACCACAGTTGCCTTTTGACTGACGAAAAACGGCTCCAGCGCTGCCACTGGAGCTATATCAGATAGCGTCAAACAGTTTGCATTTAACTTTATTATTCTCTAGTCAGCGTATTGACGATCGACAATGAAGAATTCGCCTGGACCGCGAATTTTTCACATATTAGATCCAAAATCAAGTGTAGATTACGATGGGCTACATTATTCCTCAAAAAACTAGAATCGCGTCAGATAAATATGAATTTTTATAAGAAATGGCGCGTCAAAAGTTTGGAAACTTTCGAATTTCAAAGCGAATTCTTCAAAATAGCTCCTCGAATCTACATGATAAATTAGTTATTTGATGAGTAGCTTTAAATTTCTATATTAGCGTCGTTTTTATTGACACTACAGGGTGGTTATACTTAATAATGTTTAGGACTTCCACGACGAAACCTGGCTATTCAATTCGCTCAGCGAAAAGTAATTAACGTTGATTGGTCGGGATTCTTGAACTATAGGAGATGTGGTTTGATGCGACATGCCTAGTTTTTCTTGCCGTGACAGATGTTAGAAACTGTCAGATTAGTACTTTAGATTTTAACTTGTTCACCTTCCTACCTAGCTTGCGGGGTTTTTTTGGGTTTATTTGAAGCGGCAGTGGGTAAGGTAGGCCTGGCATTGGCGCCTTTTTCCCGCTGACTGAAAACACATCTTTCCGGCTGTTCTGACGCTTATATTGGTACTCAGCCTAAACCCAGCATGTTTTGCTGAGATACCTAGAACTGGGGAATCGCCGAATGGCCGGACACATCTTCATTCATCCATGACACACTTCGCTATTTCTGACTGTTGAAATCTTATACTCAAAATGAGGTTCCCATTTGACAAAACACTTCACAGGGTCCACAATATCATTTCTAGGAAGATAGAAATCTCATTCGTCGCTGAGGACAAAGTTTCACCTCTCGCCTTCGGTTCATGTTAGCCGTTAGAGTGCGGAAGCCAGTTGGGCCATCCTGCTCTTGAAGCCCAACAATGGCTTCTTGCTGGGATACCATCCGTAATATTCACCAGGTCGCGGCCGATGTTGTGCTACACTTGGACTTCAATATGATTAGAGGAAAACTGGAAAAAGTTGTCTCTCACTTGGGAATGTCGGGGGCACGGGACGTGCCAACCACCCTCCGAAGTATTTGAGGAGGGCCAATTTTCTTGTGAGGATACTTTTTGTGAATGATCATTCTTCTTATGCTTGCTCGACTCCAACAAAGCCAGAAACATTCGATGCTATTACTTCCTTAGAGATTGAACTACTAAGAAACCATTTCAATTTCGTATTCCGGATTGTAGGGTTTAAAAAAGGACCTTCCCATGGAAAAACTGCTGCTTCCTTTGCATATGAATTCATTTTGAAATTACACATTGCTCAATGGTTTAACTAAAATTAACAGAAACAAGTGAACATTGAAGAGTAGGAATCATAATGATAAGGGAAACAAAAAGTTTCCAAACTTTTGACGCGCCATTACTTGAAAAATCTTATTTCTCAAAAATGATTATACATTGGTGCGCAAAACATAAGGACAACGATGAAGTATCATAACCTTTGATAGCTTTGTGGACCGTTTAACGGTTCCTGTTAACTGCTTTCTTTAGTGCCCTGTGCAGCTCTTTGTATGTGTGGTTAGGTTCCATAGATGTTACGCGCCAGTAACACGTCGTTGGAAAAGCTACGTTCGTCCCTAACTTTTGCACACCAGTGTAGGTTTTTGAAAACGATTCCTCCCGTCGTATTCTGAACTGATTTTGTATGTAATATCTAAATTTGGACAATTTCGTTATGTGTCGGCCGCGCTAGATCAAAAATAAAAAAGTTTCCAAACTTTTGACCGCTACTGTATGTATGTATTTATATAAGCGCTTTGTCGTAAGTAGGATTGCAGTAATGTTGCTCATGGTGGAACGGGACTGTGGCTCACGCTCGTGTGAAAATCCTCATTTTTTATGGAAAAGTTCAACTGCTCAAGACATCACAAAAAAATCATCAAAAAAATTATGAAAAATACTCGTTGCTCAGATGGACCGAGTTCAAATGCAGTTTCGAACCAATTATCGCAAAGTTATGTCTGAAGCAATATCTCCGAGTATTTTTTTTTGAAAAAATAACATCGGCATGGCATGATTGTGCTTCTTGCTTGCCAGCCAGGTGGAAAATTGTGACCACGCCGCCGAAAAGGCTGAAACGCGGGCTCTCATCAATGAGTGGAATAACTAGGATCGATCACAATTTCATAAATGTAGACAAATATGTACTTCACTCCACCTCACAGAGAAAATGAGCCGCACCTCTCGCAGCTGTACACGTTTTATACCACCAGAGAATCGCTTCATCTCAACGCAGCTATGAATGATATCCTTAAAATTTTAATATCACATACTATAGGCACTTACATTATGGCGTGGTTATCCGATGGCCGGTAAAATCGGCAGCGAACCGCAAAGCTGCAACCTCCAGCAAATGCATAATAGAACACTTGACTTGTTCTTGATAGCTGCTTTTGCTGCTTTTAACTGCTCCTTCTAGAAACATTCGCCACACGATAAGTACTCCAATTTTTTGTCTTCTTTTGATTTTTATTGTGCTTCTCACTAAGGTTTCGAGAGGCGTTGGTCAAATATTTGACAGTTGCGCCGATCAGCGAAATTTCCATGCATGAGCAATGCTTGTGCACGGCATCGAAAACGTGGAACAGCCCGGTGATCGGCGATAACGATCCAGCAAGTGGTGACACAGCGATGCCAGGCGTATTTAATCAGAGCGATTGAGCCAGTCTGTGTGCGCAAAAGAAACATCGGCTAGTGTCAAGATGCATAGCGTTCATAGTCCAGTACGTTTTTTTCCAATTTCGTAGCCGATCTCTGTAATCATTGCTCAGTAACTCCATTTTCAGACTGTTCCCAGCGCAATCCCCATCCGGGAGAAGCTTCACGTTGGTAGCAAAATTGACGTCCATGGCAAGGTCAATCACGGTCATCACAAGTAAGTACAAGTCGTCGAGTATATGATAAAGATCCCTCCTAAAAATAACCAGTACTTCAGGAATTTCTCTGTTGAGCTCCTATCTGGACCACATATTGTTCTCCACATCAACTTCCGATTCCAACATGATCATGAAGTCGTGATGAATTCACACAGCGGATCCTGGGGAACCGAGGCATGTTCCTTTTGAAAATTCATTGTCAATTTCACCTTATCTATTGCTGTGAGTTCAGGTCAGACACCACAATCCGCTTCACCACGACGATCAATTCCATCTCCATATTCATGCTCACCAAGATTACTTTGAGGTAAGGGACAATTATTGCACCCTATTTAGAAGGAAGGAAAAGGCTGCACACCTACTTTTATCGAATGATAACACCATAGGTTGTTAACAATGACTCCACAGAAATCTTAGCAAAGTGGTTCATTTTGTTAGCGATCGTAGCTAAATACAGCTATAGAAACAGCAACTCACAGCGATCATTATTCAGATTGATGTAAACGGCCAACAACTGGCCCATTTCCCTCACCGTTTTCCTATGGAGTCTGTACAAGCTCTCGGACTGAAAGGTGATGTGGTCGTCGAGAGGGTCGATTTTTCCGGTTTCCACTTCGGTGTTGGTCAGTCTCCCCATTTTTTTTATTTTTCTTCAGAGCAGAATTTAGTGAAGCGCTATTCAGTACGATGAATTTGCAAGTATTTGCTGCTCTTCTCACCACTCTTTTGTTTGCGATCGCTGAATCGTGGAGATTTGAGTCGAACGGCGAGATGACGCCGGAGCATTAACAGTTTTACTACTACTTAGGCAGAAATCAGTAAAATATCAGTGGAGCTGATTCAAAGACACACTCCACGAAAATGTGTATAAAATCAAGGTGTGGTTACATTTCTCGATAATGCTAGTAGAAGTGCGATGAGAATCGCCTTCTAAGAAAACTGCACAAGAGATTACAAAGAAGTTTCAAGTGTCGGCCACGTTTTGCATCCTTCCGGATATAATCTCTGATTTAGTTGTGATTGCCTTATAGGATCTTTAATGCCGGATGGAGGCCGGTACGTAGATGAGTTGGCACCCTGCTTCGCAAATTCATGCCGCGAAATCTGTTGCCCAGCAAGTTTGCAATCTACTCTTCCTTTGGTGCTCAATTCACTTGTAAAATAGTGGAATGTGCTTTTCATTTTGAAAGCGGCAGTTATTAGAGCAGAGACAGCAAATTGAGATTGAATAAGGAAATTATTTCGTATTAGATTATGATTCATTAAAAAAAACAGGAATAAAAAACACGAAGACTTCAACTTTCAATCAAGCTTAACAAGGACTTACGATCTAGCAACCAGAGTTAGAGAGTATAGTCGTCGACAAATCCGTATTGATATTGATTCAAACATTATATAATAGAGTGAAGTCCATCAAGGACTGATTGAGAGGTCATATCGTCATTCCAGACTGGAAAACAGGAGAACACAATTACGGCCATGCAGGATATACGGCCTACGGTTCGGAACACTATGAACCTCCCACGGTACGATTTCCTTTCCTCAACTTCCTTTGTAGTTCTTGTCATCGAGAAGAGGGCTTCTTTTGCACCATGGAGCACCATTCTGTTAAATGGTTTTTGGCAGAAAATCTTTTCACCAGAGCTCACTTTGGTTAGTCATCTACTATGTCTAATATTTGCAGTTCCATGCAGCCCACGCCTACAACGCCATATTTCTGATCGCCATCCTCCAAGGAACGCGGAGTACTATGGACTGACTGATAAACATCTATTCAATAAAAATTTATGGATGGTCAATGTGTAGAAGGAAAACTCACTTATTATTATATCTTCTAGCAAATAGAACGATTATGGAAATATAAGCATCGAAGAAAAAGCAAACAAATTGGATTTACTCACCATACAAATAGATTCGATTGCTCCCATCGGATCTTCTTCTTCTCCCTAGCGTTAGTCCCGCGCAGTCGCAGGGTCCGCTGTCTTTGTCAGTCGTCGCCACTTTGCTCTGTCCAGGGCATCTTCTGCTGTGGCCTGACTTCAGTAGGTCCTTCTTGATACGTCTCTCCACCTCTTCTTTGGGGCTCCTCGCGGTCGCTTGCCTTGCACTTCGAAGTCCATCGCTGTTCTTATCGGATGATCCTGTGGCCTCCTTAGCACATGCCCATACCATCGCAGTCGCTGTTCCCTCACCTTCAGCTGGACAGGGAGCAGTCTGCATGACCACTCTG